AATTGAAGTTGAGTTGAAGGAAGTGACACCACAAAGGGCTATCTCTCTCTGGGACTAAGTTAATAATAGTTTTAATTATATCTAGAGCATTACTAAGTTCATATCACTAAGAAGTTTATACCTGAAATATGAAGTCGTGTTCCTAATAACATCAACACTGGGTTTAAGTAGTGACTAAAGACCACCTAGTTTATGAGTACCTATAGCTCTCGGATCCAACAAAGTAAGTTTATAATAGGTCACACATGGATGAATCAACATCATTAATAAATAAAAATAAAATTATTTTGCACTAAAGTACTTACGTTCTTATTTAATTTCCACAAACTTTTGGAAGGACCCCCAAACATATGAGTAAAAATCCATTTGTATCTAGAATAACTGTACTGATTTCATCTGAAAAACTTAGCTTAAAATCAGCCTCCTTTCTGATTGTGTACTTTTGCTTTATAATCTCTTAGCCCAAACCAGGGTAAACTGCACTCTGTCACTATGGAAGACCCTAATGAATGGTGAGTTCGAACAAATTCTTTAAAAGAATTATTTTTATTCATGTGAGAGTGTTAGAGAGGTAGGTAGGTAGGTAGGTAGATAGAGAGACAGAGACAGAGACAGAGACAGAGAGAGAGAGGCCTTGCAAATGCTGGTCCACTTCCCAAATGGCTGCAATGGTGGAACTGGGCCAGTATGAACTAAAGAGCCAGGAGCTTCCTCTAGATTTCCCATGTGGGTGCAGGAGTCCTCTGCTGCCCTCTTAGGTGCACCAGCAGAAAGCTGGATCAGAAGTGCAGCAGCTAAGCCACGACCAGCACCCATGTGGGAGGCCTGGCACTGCAGACTGGGGTTTACCCACTACACCACGGCGGTGTCCCCCAGAGTTCCTGATCTCCCATGTGGGTGCAGGGCGCAAGGACTTGGGCCATCCTACACTGCCTTCCGGGGCCACAGCAGAGAGCTGGACTGGAAGAGGAGCAACCGGGACAGAACCGGCATGCCAACCGGGACTGGAACCTGGGTGCCAGCGCCACAGGCAGAGGATTAGCCTAGTGAGCCACGGTGCCGGCTGATTTCTTTGTTTCTTTTACAGAGAAGAGAAATAGAGAGTGCTTCCATCCCCTGGCCATCTCCCCAAATGGGCCCAAGGACCAGGGTTGGGCAAGGCTGAAGCTAGGAGCCAGGAGCTTCTTCTAGGTCTCCCATGTGGGTAAAGGGGTTAAAGGACTTTTATACAGTGAACTCAGAGAAGTATGAAAAAGTCACCGATTAATATCACTGTATTAAAGTCACTTTAAATGTAACTAACCTAATACAACATTACTAAAGGATAGGGTCAGATAGAAACGATCACAAATAATATCCAACCAAATAGTGTTTGCAAGAAACCTACTTTACGTATAAAGACACAAGTAGAATAAAAATGAGAGAATAGAGGAAGCCATTTCGTGCTGACACTAATTTTGAAAAAGCAAGAATGGCTGTATTAATTTCAGAAAAGGCAGAGTTCAAAGTAAGGAAATTGTCATTTGTAACAAGGGCCATTAAGTAATGATAAAGGAATGATTTTTGCAGGAAAACATAACAACCCTTTGACCAGACACCTCACCCTGAAGATATACAGACAGTCCTTAAGCATATCAAAACATGCTCACAGTCATACAGTGGTAGAGAATTGCAAATTAACACGATAAGATACTAAAAAAATGTCTATTAGAAGGGCTAAAATCCCTGAAATATGCCAAAATACTGAAATATACCAATATACTGAAAATACCAAATACTGGCAAGGATGTGGAGCAGTGGGAACCCTCATTCATTGCTGGTGGGAATGCAAGATAATGCAGCCACTTTCCAAAACAGTTTGACAGTTTCTTGCAAAGCCAAACATAGTCTCACTATACAACCCAGAAAATGCACCCTTAAGTATTTACTCAATTGGCTTGAAAGTTATGTCCACATGGAAACTGACATACAGATATTTCTAGCAGCTTTATTCATAATTATTAAGCATTGGAAGCAACCAACATATCCTTCGATAGAGGAGTGTATAAACAAACCAGCATGTACATAAAATGGCATATTTGTCAGCACTAAAAATATTTGAACCATGTAGCCATGACAAAACTTGCTGAAACCTTGAATGCATATGGTTAAGTTAAAGAAGCCAATATGACAAGGCTACTTACTATATGATTCTAGCTATATGACATTCTAGAAAGGTATAGAGACAGGAAAAATGAGCAGTAGTTGTCAGGCACTGGTGGATGAGTAGAGGAATGAATAGGTAGGAGACAGGGAAGTTTTAGGGCAGGGAAATTTATGCTGTAATAATGGACATCTTCCCATATCAGAGTTCCTGTGTTGAGTGCTGGCCCCATCCCTGGTTCAACTTCCTAGTAATGTGAATGCTAAAATGCAGCAGGTGATAGGTAGTTGGATCCTTGCCAAGCATTTGGGAGACTCAGGTTGAGTTCCTGGTTCCATGCTTTGGCACAGGCCAGTTCTGGCTGTTGCAGGCACAGGTGAAAGAAGCTGATGGGTAGGAGGCTCTTTGTAGAAAAACTGAACATGAATTTTGAGTCATTTTTCCCATAGGCCAAAGATATTCATTACAAATACACAAAGTGCATTTTCCATGCAAAAGTATATTTCTCTTCTTTGTTTCTATCTATAGAACTCCTTTAAGCATTGTTTATAAAGCTGATCAGATATAGACCGCTTTCTTCAATTTTTGTTTGTCTCAGAATATCTATCTCTTCATTCATGAAATATAGCTAAGCTGGTCAAAGTATTCTGATAGACTTTTTTTTTTCAGAACTTGACTATATCTTTCTGTTTTCTCCTGGCCTGTATTGTTTCTGTTGAAACCACGGTTACTCTTCTAATGATGTTTCTAGTGAAGGTCACTTGATAATTTTCTCTGGCAGATTTTAATATTCTTTGTGTTGTACTTTAGAGAGTTTGACAGAATATGTCATGGTGAAGTTCTTTTCTAGTCATGTCTATTTGAGGTTCTGTGGGCCTTCTATCCTAGCATGTCCATATCTTTCTCTAGATATGGAAGGAACCTGGGATGTTTTCAGCCATTATTTCAATGAGTAGGTTTTCTAGTCCATTAATCCTCTGTTCTCTCTCAGGGATTTCCATAACTTGGATATTTATTTGTTTGGTAGTTTCCCAACGGTCTCATAGACTGTCTTCATTCTGTCTTTTTACTTTTTTGTTTGTTTGTTTTGATGACTGAGATGATATTCTAAATGATCTGTATTCAAACTCAGATATTCTTTCTTCTGTTTGATCAAGTCTGTTGTTGAGGCTTTCAACTGTATTTTTCAATTTTTATTAGATAAATATAAATTTTCAAAGTACAACTTTTGGATTATAGCGGTTTTCCCCCCCGTAATCACCCTCCTACCCACAATCATCCCATATTCCACTCCCTCTCCCATCCCATTCTTCATCAAGAGTCATTTTCAATTATCTTTATATACAGAAGATCAATTTAGTATGTACTAAGTAAAGATTTCAACATCAACTATATTTTTTATTTGATCTGGTGAGTTCATCCCCAAGATTTGTCTGGTTCTTCTTTAGGATGTCTATCTCCTTCCTGAATTTCTCATTGATTTTGTGCATTGTTTTCTGATTTTGTTTAGCTATTTATCTGTGTTCAGTTGTATCTCTTTGACCACCATATAATTATTCTTTTGAATACTTTTCCAGGCATTTCATCAATCTCTCTTCTTTGGGACCTAATACAAGAATGGTATTTTGTTCCAGACATACATGTGCACACAGACATAAATGTGTCTTTGAGCATTTCTAATAATTAATGTGAAAATATAATTAAAATGTAATGTACACTTTATATGAAATTTTTGAAATAAATTTGTGTACATAGCTATATTTATACAAATGTTAATATATATACATGTTGATATTCAAACATCTGTCCAAAGCATGCATATGCACACACAGACACAATATACACAGAAGCCATGAAAAGAAATAGAGGTCAAGATATATAATATTTACTGGGAGAAGTATCCTTAGCAACTTAGACTCTATTTGACATAATCTAAATCTTCTCACAATAAGATCTGTAAATAACTTCAATTATATATATATATATATACATATATAACTAAAGCTTTCCATTTATTGTCTCTACTGCATTGAGCCACAGAAAGAAAGAAATCTATGGGAAGCAAAAAAGAAAATAATGGACAGGAAAGAGTGACTTCCTTAGCAGAAATGATCAGAACTAATGGAACCTGGATGTGTCTCTCATACTCCAGTGCTCCGTCACTATATGAGTTTGGTGGCCCCAACCCAGTGTTATTTTGGAGAGTGCTGCAGGCTCAGGCCTGCAGTTACTTGGCTGTATGTTCAGAGAAGGAAAGTGAAATCTGTATGAAAGTAGGAAGGCGATTGAGAGACTTGAGAATTGTTATATAGGTGGTTTGGAGTGATGTGTACCAAACGTAAATTGAATTCAAAGGAAATGCTGAAGAAACAAAATGCTGTTGGGGGTGATGTTTTTGTGCAGTGGGTTAAGCCACCACTTGACTCTGGCATCCTATATTAGACTTACAGTTTGAGTACTGGCTGCACCGCTAATGATCCTGCTCCCTCCCAGTGCTTCCAAGAAGCAAGCAGAAGATGGCCCAAGAAATTGAGTCCCTGACACCTACATGGGAGACCCAGATGAAGTAGCTGGCTTCTGGCTTTGGCTTAGTCTAGGCCCAGTCATTGCAGGCATTTGAGGAGTAAACTAGTAGATGGAAGATCTATGTCTCCCTCTCTAGGATTCTGTCTTTCAAATGAACAAACTAATCTTTAAGAAAAGTTTTAAGACTACAGTCACTCCTAGGAATTTAGAAGCCTTGCTATTTTCACAGGACATAGCTATCCCTTAGTGGGATGTAATGTTTCATTTCTGATTTTTAAAAAAAATTTATTTATTTGAAAGGTAGAAGTACTGATGAGGGGGACAAGACAGAGATATCTGTCATCTGCAGATTCATTCCCTAGATGGCCCCTAAAGCCAGGAAGCCAGAACCTCCTTTCAGGTCTCTCATGTGGGTACATGGACCCAAGACTTAGACCAACTTCCTCTGATATCCCAGGCACATTGTGCAAGGAGCTTGATTGGAAGTGGACCAGCCAAGGAGAGATTGAGTGCCCAGTTCTGATGCCAGGATCCTAGATGGCAGCTTAATCAATGCCACTGCATTGGCCCTCATAAAGCTTCATTTCTAATAAAAATACAAACCATGTGCAGTGATATAATATGGCCATCTGGAGATCAACCAGTTCATGTCCATAATAAATGTAGTCATGTGAGCAAAAATAATAACATAAAATATTGTGTGATTTCTGACTTTGTATCTTTATATTCCCTTAGCTCACAGCCAAAAGAATCGACATCCATTACTTATGTGGAATCCATCAATGACAAGTGAGTGAAAAACAAATTCAATATGTGTATATGTATACATGAATCCCCCAAAAGACACAGGTAACAATACACAATACTTAAAATTAAGGTACTACCTGTGAACTGATTGATATAAAAATACACATGTGAATATCATTAATTTGGACATGGTAGATATTTTTGAAAACTAAAAATGAGGCCTCATGTGACAATGACTGTCTCAGAACTCTTAAATAAGTATATAATTGTTATTAAGGAAATAACTATTTCCCCTTGTCTTTCAGGTTTGCATTTATGTCAGATTATATACATTTATCTGTGTGTGTATATGTGGTGTGTTTGCATATGTATGGGTGTCTACATGAATAATCATCAAAAAGCACATGGAATATCTTTTCCCTCCTTTCATTTTCAGCCTGCATGTATCTTGTTGGTGAGATGTGTTTCTTGTAGGCAGCAAATAGATGGGTTTTCTTTTTTTTTTCTTTTTTTTTATTTGACAGGTAGAGTTATAGACAGAGAGAGAGAGAGAGAGAGAGAGAGATATGTCTTCCTTCCGTTGGTTCACTCCACAAATGGCCGCTATGACACTGTGCCGATCTGAAGCCAGGAGCCAGGGGCTTCTTCCCAGTCTCCCATGTGGGTGCAGGGGCCTAAACACTTGGGCCATCCTCCAATGCCCTCCCAGGCCATAGCAGAGAGCTGGACTGGAAGAGCAGCAGCCAGGACTAGAACTGGCACCCAAATGGGAAGCTGGCACCACAGGTGGAGGATTAACCAAGTGAGCCATGGCACTGGCCCCAGATGGGTTTTCTTTTTTAATCCATTGAACCAGTCTCTGTCATTTACCTGGATAGATAGGTCATTTAAATTCAAGGAGACTACTGATAAATAACAACTTTGCCCTACCATCTTTCCATAAACATTCCTATTTTTTATTTTGTATTTCCTTTGTACTTTTACTGAGAGGTTTTCTGCCTTTACCTTCTTTCATAGTGATAACTATGTTTCTGTGTTTCTGTGTGCAGCACATCCTTAAGCATCTCTTGTAAGGCTGGGTTGGTGGTGACAAATTCTTTCAATTTCTGTTTGTTATGGAAGGTCTTTATTACACCTTCATTCATAAATGAGAGCTTTGCAGGGTTCACTATTCTGAAGACAATTTTTTCTTTTATTCTTGGACTATATATCACCATTCTCTCTTAGCTTTTAGGGTCTCTGATGAGAAATCTGTTGGTTGTAGATCTTTGGATTGTTTCTGGTGTTTCTAATTGTTCCATTGGTCTATCCATCTGTTTCTGTACCAGTACCAGGCTGTTTTGATTATAACTGCCCTGTAGTATGTCTTAAAATCAGGTATTGTGATGCCTCCAGCTCTGTTTTTGTTGTATAAGATTGCTTTAGCTATTTAGATGTCCTGTGCCTCCATATGAATTTCAGATTCATTTTTTTTCTGCATCTGGGAAGAATGTCTGTGGTATTTTGATTAGTATTGCATTGAATCGGTAAATTGCTTTTGGAAGAATGGACATTTTGATGACATTAATTCTACCAATCTATGAACATGGAAGATTTTTCCATTTTTTGTACCTTTTTCTATTTCTTTAAAGTTTTGTAATTCTAATTATAGATACCTTGGACATCCTTGATTAAGTTTATTCCAAGGTATTTGATTTTGTAGCTGTGGTGATGTGATTGATCTTAGAAGTTCTTTCTCAGCCGTGGCATTGCCTGTGTGTACAAAGGCTCCTGATTTTTGTGTACTGATTTTATATCCTGGTGCTTTACCAAACTCTTCAGTGAGTTTCAATAGTCTCTTGGTGGAGTTCTTTGGATCCCCTAAATAAAGAATCATATCATCTGCAAAGAGGGATAGTTTGACTTCTTCCTTCCCAATTTGTACCCCTTTGATTTTTTTTCTTGCCTAATGGCTCTGGCTAAAACTTCCAGTACTATATCAAATAGCAATGCTGAGAGTGGGCATCCCTGTCTGGTACCAGATCTCAGTGGAAATGCTTCCAACATTTCCGCATTCAGTATGATGCTGGCTGTGGGTTTGTCATAAATTGCCATGATTTTGTTGAGGAATGTTCCTTCTATGTCCAGTTTGCTGAGGGTTTTAACAATCAAAGACTTGCATTTTATCAAATGCTTTCTCTGCATCTATTGAGATAACCATATGGTTTTTCTTCAGCAGTTTGTTAATGTAGTGCATCACATTGATAGATTTGCAAATGTTGAACCATCCCTGCATACCAGGGAAAAATCCCACTTGGTCTGGGTGGGTGATCTTTCTGGTGTGTTGTTGGATTCTATTGGCTAGAATTTTGTTGAGGCTTTTTGCGACTATGATCATCAGGAAAATTGGTCTGTATTCTCTTTCTCTATTAATCTTTTTCAGGTTTAGAAATTAAGGTGATGCTGGCTTCATAGAATTTGGGAGGATCCCCTCTCTTTCAATTGTTTTGAATAACTTGAGAAGAGTTTTAGTTAGTTCTTCTTTAAATGACTGGTAGAATTCAGCAGTGAATCCATCTAGTCCTGGGCTTTTCTTTTTTGGGAGGGCATTTATTACTGATTCAATTTCTGTCTTGGTTATGGGTCTGTTTAGGTTTTCTGTGTCTTCATGGCTCAAATTAGGGAGGTTGTATGTGTCCAGGAATCTATCCATTTCTGATAGATTTCCCTGTTTGCTGGTATACAACTCTTTGTAGTAATGTCTGATGATGTTTCAATTCTGTTTGTTTTTTCAAAAAACCAGCTCTTCATTTTGCTGATCTTTTGTATTGTTTTTTGAATTCAATTTTGTTGATTTCTCTCTAATTTGAATTATTTCTTTTCTCCTACTAGCTTTGGGTTTGCTTTGCTGTCATTTTTCTAGATCCTTGAGTTGCAATGATAGGTCATTTATTTGGTGCCTTTCCAATTCCTTGATGTAGGCACCTATTGCTATAAACTTTGCTCTTAACACTGCTTTTGCTGTATCCCGTAAGTTTTGATAAGTGTTGTCATCTTCGTTTCCAGAATAGTTTTGATTTCTCCTATGAACCACTGTTCATTCAGGAACGTGTTATTCAAACTCCATGTGTTTGCATATGCTCTAGAGATTCTCAAGTTGCTGATTTCCAGCTTCATTCCATTGTGGTCTTAGAAGATGCATGGTATGATTTCAATTTTTTTTTAATTTGCTGAGAGTTGCTTTATGGCCTAGTATGTAGTTAATCCTGGAGAAAGTTCCATGCACTGCTGAGAAGAATGTGTATTCTGCAACTTTAGGATGAAAACTTCTGTAGATATTGTTAGGTCTCATTTGGTCTATTGTGTTCACGTCAAGAGTAACTGTAGTCATTTGAGCTAAAATAATAAGATAAAACCTCGTGTGACTTCTGATTATATACCGTTATATTCCCTTAGGTCACACTCAGGAGAATCAACATCTAGTATATATGTGGAATCCATCAGTGACAAGTGAGTGAAATACAAACTCAGTGTGTATTTGTATACATGAATCCCCCAAAAGACACAGGTATGTTACTACCTGTCAACTGAATAATATTTAAATACATATGTGCACATCATGGTAGGTATATTTGATTTAAAATGAGGATTAATGTTACAATAATAATTAGCTCAGGACTCTTAAAACAGAAGTATATCCAGAGTGAAATAACTATTACTTTAAACACTAGTCTTCTAGGGTTGCATTTATGTCAGATTACATATATTTATTTGTGTGTGTATATGTGTGGTGTGTGTGTATATGAATGGGTGTGTGCATGAATAATCATCAAAAATTGCATGGAATATCTTTTTCCCTCCTTTCACTTTCAGTCTGCGTGCATCTTAGTTGGTGAGATATGTTTATGATAGGCAGCAAATAGATGGGTTTTGATTTTAATCCATTCAGCTAGTCTGTCTTTTAACAGGAGAGTTGAAGCCATTTACATTCAAGGGGACTATTGATAAGTAATGAAAATATGTACTCATGGTATGTTTGTGAACTTTAGAGACTAGAAACCAGAGCCTATCACCATTTAGAACCTAGGCAAATATCAAAATACCTGTGAGTGTGATGCACAGTGATCCTAGGGAGAAGAGAACCCATTTTGCAAGCAAAGACTTGGTAGTTGTAGGCAGGAAGCATGGCAAGAGACAGTCTTTTACACTCCTTTAATGTGTTCTCACAGTAGCATATGTAGCTACTTTTTCTAGGTTTTTGTATATATTTGGATTAAAGAGGAGTATGTCATAAGAGGAATATTTCTTCCTTCTGGTATTCACATTGAGTAACCCCTAGACAAAGCTCAAAGGAAATGTTCAGTATGCTAATGGATAGGAGTCTGTCTCTTTGTAGAAAAACTGAACATGAATTTTGAGTCATTTTTCCCATAGGCCAAAGATATTCATTACAAATACACAAAGTGCATTTTCCATGCAAAAGTATATTTCTCTTCTTTGTTTCTATCTATAGAACTCCTTTAAGCATTGTTTATAAAGCTGATCAGATATAGACCGCTTTCTTCAATTTTTGTTTGTCTCAGAATATCTATCTCTTCATTCATGAAATATAGCTAAGCTGGTCAAAGTATTCTGATAGACTTTTTTTTTTCAGAACTTGACTATATCTTTCTGTTTTCTCCTGGCCTGTATTGTTTCTGTTGAAACCACGGTTACTCTTCTAATGATGTTTCTAGTGAAGGTCACTTGATAATTTTCTCTGGCAGATTTTAATATTCTTTGTGTTGTACTTTAGAGAGTTTGACAGAATATGTCATGGTGAAGTTCTTTTCTAGTCATGTCTATTTGAGGTTCTGTGGGCCTTCTATCCTAGCATGTCCATATCTTTCTCTAGATATGGAAGGAACCTGGGATGTTTTCAGCCATTATTTCAATGAGTAGGTTTTCTAGTCCATTAATCCTCTGTTCTCTCTCAGGGATTTCCATAACTTGGATATTTATTTGTTTGGTAGTTTCCCAACGGTCTCATAGACTGTCTTCATTCTGTCTTTTTACTTTTTTGTTTGTTTGTTTTGATGACTGAGATGATATTCTAAATGATCTGTATTCAAACTCAGATATTCTTTCTTCTGTTTGATCAAGTCTGTTGTTGAGGCTTTCAACTGTATTTTTTATTTGATCTGGTGAGTTCATTCCCAAGATTTGTTTGGTTCTTCTTCAGGATGTCTACGTCCTTCCTGAATATCTCATTGATTTTGTGCATTGTTTTCTAATTTTTTTTTAACTATTTGTCTGTGTTCAGTTGTATCTCTTTGACCATCCGTAATTCTTTTGAATTCTTTCTCAGGCACTTCAACAATCTCTTTTCTTTGGGATATGATACAAGAATGGTATTTTGTTCCAGATATACATGTGTACACAGATATACATGTGTATATTAAAACTATGTTCAGAACATGGACGCACACACACACACACAAACACACACACACACATTATATACACAGAGGCATGAAAAGAAACAAAGGTCAAGAGATACAATATTTACCATGAGGAGTATCCTTAGCAACATAGACTATATTTGACATAATTTAAATCTTCTCAGTATAGGATCTGTAAATAACTTCAATTTACATATATATAACTTATATATATATATAAATATAATTGTGTTATTATATAATATAATTATATTATTATATATAATATATAATCTATTTTAATATATAAATATATATATTGGAGGGTGCCACAGGCTTAGGCCTGCATTACTTGACTGTATGTTTGGAGAAGAAAAGTGAATCCTGTATGAAAGTAGGAAGGCGATGGAGAGACTTGAGAATTGGGAACATAGGTGGTATGGAATGATGTATACCAAAAGTAAATTGAATTCAAAGTAAATGCTGAGAAACAAAAAGCTGTTGGGGCTGGTGCTGTGATGTATTGGGTCAAGCCACCAGTTGCAACACTGGCATCGCATATCAGACTTATGGTTTGAGTCCTGGCTGTACCAGTTCTGATCCTGCTCCCTCTCAATGCTTCTTGCAAGTAATTCAGTCCCTGCCACCCACATAGGAGACCCAGATGAAGTCCCTGGCTTCAGGCATTGTTCTAGCCTAAGGCCTGCCATTGCAAGCATCTGGTGAGTAACCGAATAGCTGGAAGATGTCTCAATGTCTCCATCTCTGGGATTCTGTCTTTCAAATAAAAAATTAATGCATAAGAAAAGTTTTAAGTTGGAGTCATTCCTTGGAATTTAGGTAATAATCAAGAGCTTCACATAATCCAGAAGCCTTGCGATTTTCACAGCATGTAGCTACCTCTTAGTGGAATTGATGTTTTATTTCTGTTTTTTTTTTTATTATCTTATTTCTATATTTGAAAGGCAGAAGTACAATGAGGGGGCCAAAACAGAGATCTGTCCTCTGCAGGTTCCCTCGCTAGATGGCCGCAATAGCTGGTGTGAGACTGGGCAAAAAACAGGAAGCCAGAGACTCCTTCCAGGTCTCTGATGTGGGTGAATGGCTGCAAGAACTTGTGCCATCTTCTGCTGATTTCCCAGGCACATTGGCAGGGGGCTTGATCAGAAGTGTAGCAGCTAGGTGGAGATCAAGTGCTCAGATCGGATGGCAGCATCCTAGGTGGCAGTTTAACCTATAGCTCTACACTGACGCCCATAATTTTTCATTTCTAATAAAAATACACACCAAGTTCAAACAGTGATACAACATGACCATCTGGAGATCAACCAGTTCATGTCCAGAATAACTGTAGTTATTTGAGCAAAAATGTTAAGATAAAATCTTGTGTGATTTCTGACTTTGTATCTTTATATTCCCTTAGCTCACAGCCAAAGGAATCAACATCCATTACTTCTATGGAATCCATCAATGACAAGTGAGTGAAAAACAAATTCAATATGTGTATATGCATACATGTGATGTTTCATTTGTGTTTTCTTTTTTAAGTTTTATTTCTTACTTGAAAGATGGAAATACAAGGAGGGATGGGGCAGAGAGATCTATCCTCTGCAGGTTCCCTCACTAGATGGCCCCATTAGCTGGGATGAGACTGGGCAAAAGCTAGGAAGCCTAACCTCCTTTCAGGTCACCTATGTGAGTGCAATGGCCCAAGCATTTAGACTTTCTTCTGCTGCTTTCCAGGGACATTTGGCAAGGAGCTTGGTTGGAATTGGAGCAGCCAAGTAGTGATCAAGCACCAACTGAGATGCCAGTGTCCTAGGTGGCAGCTTCACCTATGCTACTACACTGGCCCCCATAAAGTTTCATTTCTAATAGAAATACACACCAGTGTAACATGACCATCTGGAGATCAACCAGTTCATGTCCAGAATAACTGTAGTTATTTGAGCAAAAATGATAAGATAAAATCTTGTGTGATTTCTGACTTTGTATCTTTATATTCCCTTAGCTCACAGCCAAAGGAATCAACATCCATTACTTTTGTGGAATCCATCAATGACAAGTGAGTGAAAAACAAATTCAATATGTGTATATGTATACATGAATCCCCCAAAATACACAGGTAAGTGTACACTATCCTTAAAATTAAGGTACTACCTGTGAACTGATTGATATACAAATACACATGTGCATATCACTGATTTGAATGTGGTAGGTACTATTGAAAATTAAAAATGAGGCTTCATGTGACAATAATGACTATATCAGGACTATTAAAAGAGTAGTATATCCAGAGAGAACTAAATATTACTTTAATCCTTTGTCTTTTAGGGTTGCGTTTATATCAGATTACATACATCTGTGTGTATATATGTTGTGTGTGTATGTGTACGGGTTTATCCATGAGTAATCATCAAAAGGTGTATAGAGTGGCACACATGGAAGGTTGATACTACTTGCAGCTGTGGCATCACAGATTGCAGTGCTGGTCCCAGTCTTGCTTGTTGCCTGTCCAATCTAACTTCCTGTTAATGCATCTTGAAAGGATGTGGATGATGACTCAACATTAGACCCTGTCACCCACATGGGAAATTGAGATGGAGTTTCTGCCTCCTGACATTGCCCTGGTGCAGCCCTTGTCGAAGCCAGTAAAGGATAGCTATATTTCTCTCTATCCTTCTCTTGCTCTTGCTCTTGCTCTCTCTCTCCCACTCTTTGTCCCTCTGTTTTTCAAGTAAATCTTTTCTTTTCAGTTTCATTAAATGAATTTATTTATTAAAATAATTTAACTCCAAATACAACTGTTGAATTTGTATTGAGTTATAACTACAATTCATGTTTCAATTGAAATGTCAAGATTTAACAGCTGACACTGTTTAAAAAAATAAGCCGTTGTTAAATTTTAAATGGTCAGTTGTATTAGAGCTCAACAATTAACTGTGAACTATATCTCTGGGAAACCCCAAATCAATAATGTTAAGTTTGTTTCCAAAACCCACTGCAGTCATTCTTGAAACCCTGATCAAGATTTAACAGATGCACAATGACATGTTAAAAAAAAAGACTCCCCCCATAGTCTTTAACATTTCATTGGCTATGGAGACAATTAAGCTTAATCAGTACTAACACAAAACTACTGAGAAAAAAAACTGAAAAAAAAAAAGACAAACAAAAACTCAACATCAGCACACAAAACAATTATCTTCATAGGAACACTGAGAACACTCAAACTGGAAAACCCTGAAAGAAAATGCCAGACATCCTTAGGTAACATTTCCTCATATAGGAAAGCAAATATCAGTAGTTTTAAATACAGAAAAGTGATGGCAACTATAGTGATCAGAGGTGAAACTTCAGTCCTAACTCTATAAACCAAAGGAGAAAAATGATCGAAGCACCCTCTGATAGTTTAAGAAAAGATTTTACATAATACTTTCGATCAGATGCCGGCTGGTTTTCTTGTAAGTTCAACAAAATGAAAGGCAGAGTTACCATTGGCATCACAGCTGAAAAAAACAAAAGTTGTAATATTAAAATAAAACAACTTAAAATAAATGCTGCTCTTGTATAAAAATAAAAACCAAAAGAAAACCTTATCACGATAGTTAAAGAAAAAGAGGGTCTTTGGATCAAACCATAATATTTTTAGGCATGTTAGAAATTCAGGCCGGCGCTGCGACTCACTAGGCTAATCCTCTGCCTGCAGTGCCAGTACCCCAGGTTCTCATCCCGGTTGGGGTGCCGGATTCTGTCCCGGTTGCTCCTCTTCCAGTCCAGCTTTCTGCTGTGGCCCGGGAAGGCAGTGGAGGATGGCCCAAGTGCTTGGGCCCTGCACTCTCATGGGAGACCAGGAGGAAGCACCCAGCTCCTGGCTTCAGATTGATTGGTGCAGCACGCCTGCCGTAGCAGCCATTTGGGGGGTGAACCAATGGAAGGAAGACCTTTATCTCTCACTAACTCTGCCTGTCAAAAAAAAAAAAAAAAAAAAAAAAAAAAAAAGAAAGAAAGAAAGAAAAAAGAAAAGAAAAAGAAAGAAATTCAAACTCACCTATCTAGCTGCTAGTCTGATCAGGGCATAGAATAATGACCCAAGGTCACCAATTTTCCTCTGTTGACACCAGTATTTCTTATGCCAACAAATACAGTCTTCCCATTGTTAAGCTTTGTATTAACATCTCAACAGACAAATTCTCTCAAACTGAGTTTTGTTCATACCAAATGAATACCAATAATAAGAGCACAGGTGTGCCCATCTCCAGGTTTTGGAAATTTTTGTTATCTTGTCACAAAATGTGTAGGGCTATATGGGAACATTGATCAGGTAGCCAAATCAGTTATTATTAACATCTGTCCAGTAAAAGCCCACCTTAGTATCTGATAGAAACATTTTTAACTAAAACCATAAATGTAAGATAATCTTTTCCAGCTTACATTTTGCCAAGTCTTTCACATTTTTAACCTATTTATAACATCTGCATAGCAATCCAAAATTAAAACTGCAAAATTTTCATAGTTGCTTCCAAAATGCAATCTTAGTTGTCATAAATTTCTATTAATTATAGAATTCTCAGAAACCAGAACATTCTGGGAAGTTAGAAGCTTCAAAACCCCACCAATTCACTAATGAATGTTTCCTATTTCAGTAAACTATACTTCTTGAATCTGATTTCCCTGCATTTGAGTCAAATCAATTTTTATATAGTCAAATATATTTTCAATAAAGTTGGTCAAAACTTTCTGTCTTTTACACAAGGAGCTTCATAAATGAGGATTATAAAAATTATACCAAAGCTTGGAAATATTCACAATGGAAACATTCTTGATAGCCATGGCCTGGCTTTAATTTCTTCAGTTTCCTTATCTATGAAAATCCTACCCAGCTTTTTTCCCATCCTATAACCTTAATGCCAGTTATTAAGCACTTCAGGGGGTGGGCTACCAATAATTTCAATAATGTATAAAAGACACTCAACTAATTTAAAAGAAAAAGTCTTTGATACAGCATATTCTGCAGTATAGATTCTCAGTGTAGGCAATTATTTCCAACTTGTGCCAAATTCTTAGGAACCATAAATACATGGACACACAGCATACACTCTTCTCTCAGCTACACACATAAGACAAAAGGTTACTTGCACAAGACTGTGAAACTAAGCAAATTTGGGGTGGTACATAGATCTCAGGATCAGTGATATAGCAGTTCTGAAGGCTAAATTTATCTCCAGCGGCTCAGCTCAAGATAATCTTTTGTCAGCTTTAAAAACTCCAGTTAGGGCCAGCGCAACGGCTCAATAGGCTAATCCTCCACCTGAAGCACCAGCACACCGGGTTCTAGTCCCGGTCAGGGCGCTGCATTCTGTCCTGGTTGCTCCTCTTCCAGGCCAGCCCTCTGCTATGGCCTGGGAGTGCAGTGGAGGATGGCCCAAGTCCTCGGGCCCTGCACCCCATGGGAGACCAGGATAAGTACCTGGCTCCTGGCTTTGGATCAGCATGGTGCGCCACTGAAGAGTAAACCAATGGCAAAAAAAGGAAGACCTTTCTCTCTGTCTCTCTCTCTCTCACTGTCCACTCTGCCTGTTGAAAAAAAAAAAACACTCCAGTTAGTTGAAAACTCTTTTACACTTGATTGTAAAGCTTATGAATAGGTTTTTCCTGTGCTATTAGTCATGCAAATGATAAATACTTCACAGCTATGAAAACCAAAAATATCAGAGCTTGAGCACCTTTTCAAAACAAAATATTCATTCTAGTTTTACGTGCCACTTCAGTAATCAGGGCAAAACTATTATACAAAAATCTTTATGCAATTCTCCAGGAAAATTAAAGGTAAAAGGCTTTTTTGTCCTTCACCTTCTACTCTGTAATTTATGTTCTATTTTTTTTTATTTTTTTTTTTGACAGGCAGAGTGGACAGTGAGAGAGAGAGACAGAGAGAAAGGTCTTCCTTTGCTGTTGGTTCACCCTCCAATGGCCGCCGCTGCCGGCGCGCTGCGGCCGGCGCACCGCGCTGATCCGATGGCAGGAGCCAGGAGCCAGGTGCTTTTCCTGGTCTCCCATGGGGTGCAGGGCCCAAGCACCTGGGCCATCCTCCACTGCACTCCCTGGCCACAGCAGAGAGATGGCCTGGAAGAGGGGCAACCAGGACAGAATCCGGCACCCCAACCGGGACTAGAACCCGGTGTGCCGGCGCCGCTAGGCGGAGGATTAGCCTAGTGAGCCGCAGCACCGGCCTTATGTTCTATTTTTAAGCCAGAATTATTTCACATGGTTATTCGATTTTTTTAAAATGTCTGTTAGAAAGCTCTGCTACAGCAAACTGGATTTTCACAGCCTGTTAGCCAACGGTCATGCCACAACCATAGCCCTTAAAGGCAAGGAGGAATTTGCTGCTTCAATGAATGTAAAAGTGCCAGGAATTTGTACTGTCCTGTGAGGTTTCTGCAGACGTAAACACATGGATGCAACATGGCTTCATTTTCCTTAGATGATGGTACTAGCTAATTGTTAGTAAGGTGAGGCAATCTCTCCTCATTACAGTTGCTTCCTTCTTGTTGAGTAAAGTAATGCAGACCATCCCTGCTTGGTTAACAGAGGGTGGGTTTGGGGTTTTAATTCTGATCCAACCCTTGTAAGAGCCTCCATTTCCTGTGGCAAAGCACGTGATTTAACAAATTCAAAAGCCAGATTGTGTTTTTATAGAATCTGTACTTTTGTTTGATCAAAGACTGATGTGTGAGTTAGTTCCATGTCACAAATTAGGATAACATCTACAATTAAGCATCAGTTTTGCAAAACACAACCTTGTCAGCTGAGCAGACTCCCTCTCTGCAATGCTGCTGACAGGTCAGCTGTTGCTATCTCCTTGACGGAATACATTGGTTGGAAACTCTATACCAAGTACTGAAACTCAGTACTCTCTTAGCAAAATATTCTCCTTTACTTAACTTTTTTTTTGACAGGCAGAGTTAGACAGTGAGAGAGAAAGAGAGAGAGAGAGACAGAGAGAGACAGAGAAAGGTCTTCCTTCCGTTGGTTCACCCCACAAATGGCTGTTATGGCCAGCGCGCTGCACCGATCTGAATCCAGGAGCCAGGTGCTTCCTCCAAATATTTTAATTATAAGTGGTCATGGGAATTCTTCTGGTTTCTCCCTCATGGTTATTTTTTTAAGTTATGTATTTGCTGCTTCTGTCAACTCAGCAACAATGTCATCATTGCTTTCAAGTGAAGTGTTTCATAGGCAAGGAAGACAACCATGAGAGGTGAAAATAAAGAGGGACATAAGAATGAGGACTCTAGACATAGTAAATGGTATGTGGATCTATAAAATGTAGTTTGAGTTTGTAATAAATGTCCCTTCCAAAGACTCTTACAAGCTGGTGTTAAGATAATAGGTACTTAAATCTGCATATATTACAACTTTCACAAGCCTAATATATTCATTTCCACCACAAAGAGCTTCATTTCTAATTTTTTAAAAAGCCAGATTGAAAAATAGTGATATCTATATCTATATATCACATCAGTTTTTAGAATGAATGTAATTAGTTGACACAAAAAGGTAAGATATCTCACCCCATGGTATCTCACTATTTACTTTTTAATTCTTTAGACCAAATACAGAAGAATTGACATATGAAAATTATGAGGAAGCACCCAGTACCATGTGAGTTATAAATTTTAAAAGTTATAGATGTATTTGTGTGTATATATATACACCAAACCCATATATATGCATAACTAAATATAGGGCAGAACTTCCAAGAACTCATGAAAATGGAATTCAAATAAAAGCTTATGTTGAAATTCATGCACAGAGATATCTTTAAAAAGTTTTTGGAATATGAATATTATTAACAAACTGTGAATGCATTCCCAAAATTTGCAGCTAATTTTAATTCCATTTTCTCAAAAACTATCACGAGTACCCTATGTATGTTCATACACAAAGGTATTTCTTTTAATACACACACACACACACACACACACACAAGTAAGACTATGAAAAAGAAAACAAGGTTGAAATTTATAAGTCTACTCTTGGGAGTATCCTTGACAACTGATGAAACCTTTTGTATCATTTAAATGTTCTCACTTTCAAAAATGTAGTGAATTTTCTATTTTCTTTTTTGTTTAAACTGGATGAGAGGAGAGTTGTGAGTGGGATGATTCTTCCAGTCTGTATATTTGTCATTCTTAGTAACAGCCGATCCTGTAAGAAAGTCTGCCACCATATGGGACTGGTGCTCCAAACCCATTCTGAAACTCATTATGATTTTGACTCAGGCCCGCAGCATGGATTCATGGAGTACAATGTGATATTGCAATACATGTATTCCATATAATGAGCACATCAGAGTAAATAACATTCATTACCATAAGCGTTATTTCTTTGTGTTGAAACATTTAAAGTTCTCTCTTCTAACTATCTTGAAATATATGGTATATTACCAATAACAGTAATAACCCTACTTGCAATAGAATATTAAAACTTATTCTTGATAATTGTAACTTTAAAAATGATTTATTCATTTTAAAGAGCTTGAGAGAGAAAGAAAATCTTCCATCCATGTTCACTCCCCAAATGTCCACAAAAGCCTGGTCTGGGCTAGGTTGAAGTGAAAAACCAGGAAACCCTTCTCTCCTACATAGGTGGCAGGAGCCCAAACATTTTGGCCATCTTCCATTGCTTTCCTAGGCATATTAGCAGGAAGCTGGATTAGAAGTCAAGCAGCTTGGACTCAACCGTGCTCCAATATGGCATGTGGGTGTCACAAGCAGCAGCTTAACTTCACTGTGCCATAATACCACACCCTCTGATTTTAACTTTTTTTTAACTTTTATTTAATGAATATAAATTTCCAAAGTACAGCTTATGGATAACAATGGCTTCCCCCTCATAACATCCCTCCCACCCACAACCCTCCCCTCTCCCACTCCCTCTCCCCTTCCATTCACATCAAGATTCATTTTTGATTCTCTTTATCTACAGAAGATCAGTTTAACATACATTAAGTAAAGATTTCAACAGTTTGCTCCCACACAGAAACATAAAGTGAAAAATAATAGATGATTTTTTAAATGATGATGAAATCAGATCAGACCTATTGTCATGTTTAATCCCAGTGAGAGTCAAGTTGGGAATTGATAATTTCTTCTTCTTTTTTTTTTTTTTTTTTTTTACAGAAGATCAGTTTAGTATACATTAAGTAAAGCTTTCAACAGTTTGCACCCCCATAGAAACACAAAGTGAAATATACTGTTTGAGTACTCGTTATAGCATTAAGTCTCAATGTACAGCACGCTAAGGACAGAGATCCTACATGAGGAGCGAGTGCACAGTGACCCTTTGTTGTTGACTTTACAAATTGACACTCCTGTTTATGGCATCAGTAGTCTCCCCATGCTCCAGTCATGAGTTTCCAAGGCTATGGAAGCCCCTTGAGTTCTCCGACTCTTATCTTGTTTAGACAAGGTCATAGTCAAAGTGGAGGTTCTCTCCTCCCTTCAGAGAAAGATACCTCCATCTTTGAAGACCTGTTCTTTCCACTGGGATCTCACTCACAGAGATCTTTCGTTTAGTTATTTTATTTTATTTTATTTTATTTTTTTTTTGCCAGAGTGTCTTGGCTTTCCATGCCTGAAATACTGTCATGGGTTTTTCAGCCAGATCCGAATGCCTTTAGGGCTGATTCTGAGGCCAGAGTGCTGTTTAGGACATCTGCGATTCTATGAGTCTGCTGAGTATCTCACTTCCCATGTTGGATCACTCTCCCCTTTATTTATTCTATCGGTTAGTATTAGCAGGTACTAGACTTGTTTATGTGATCCCTTTGACTCTTAGTCCTTTCATTATGATCAATTGTGAACTGAAAATTGATCACTTGGACTAGTGAGATGGCATTGGCACATGCCACCTTGATGGGATTGAATTGGAATCCCCTGGTATGTTTCTAACTCTACCATTTGAGGCAAGTCAGCCTGAGCATGTCCCAAATTGTACATCTCTTCCCTCTCTTATTCCCACTCTTACGTTTAACAGGGATCACATTTCAGTTAAATTTCAACACTTAAGAATAACTGTGTATTAATTACAGAATTAAACCAGTCATATTAAGTAGAGTAGACAAAAAAACTACTAAGAGGGATAATGTATTAAGTTGTTCATTAACAGACAGGGCTATGCTGATCAAGTCACCATTTCTCATACTGTCCATTTCACTTCAACAGGTTTCCTTTTTGGTGTTCAGTCAGTTGTCACCAATCAGGGAGGACATATGGTATTTGTCCCTTTGGGACTGGCTTATTTCACTCAGCATGATGTGTTCCAGATTCCTCCATTTTGTTGCAAATGACTGGATTTCGTTGTTTCTTACTGCGGTATAGTATTCTAAAGAGTACATATCCCATTATTTCTTTATCCAGTCTACCATTGATGGGCATTTAGGTTGGTTCCAGGTCTTGGCTATTGTGAATTGTGCTGCAATAAACATTAGGGTGCAGACCGCTTTTTTGTTTGCCAATTTAAATTCCTTTGGGTAAATCCCAAGGAGTGGGATGGCTGGGTCGAATGGTAGGGTTATAATCAGGTTTCTGAGGAATCTCCAGACTGACTTCCATAGTGGTTTGACCAGTTTGCATTCCCACCAACAGTGGGTTAGTGTCCCTTTTTCCTCACATCCTCGCCAGCATCTGTTGTTGGTAGATTTCTATATGTGAGCCATTCTAACCGGGGTGAGGTGGAATCTCATTGTGGTTTTGATTTGCATTTCCCTGATTGCTAGTGACCTTGAACATTTTTTCATGTGCCTGTTGGCCATTTGTATTTCCTCTTTTGAAAAATGTCTATTGAGGTCTTTGGCCCATTTCTTAAGTGGGTTGTTGGTTTTGTTTTTGTGGAGTTTCTTGATCTCTTTGTAGATTCTGGTTATTAACCCTTTATCTGTTGCATAGTTTGCAAATATTTTTTCCCATTCTGTCATTTGTCTCTTCACTCTCCTGTTTCTTTTGCAGTACAGAAACTTCTCAATTTGATGCAATCCCAATAGTTGATTTTGGCTTTGACTGCCTGTGCCTCCCGGGTCTTTTCCAGAAATTCTTTGCCTGTGCCAATATCTTGAAGAGTTTCTCCAATGTTCTCTAATAACTTGATGGTGTCAGGTCATAGATTTAGGTCTTTAATCCACGTTGAGTGGATTTTTGTGTAAGGTGTAAGGTAGGGGTCTTGCTTCATGATTCTGCATGTGGAAATCCAGTTTTCCCAGCACCATTTATTGAATAGACTGTCCTTGCTCCAGGAATTGGTTTTAGGTCCTTGATCAAATATAAGTTGGCTGTAGATGTTTGGGTTGATTTCTGGTGTTTCTATTCTGTTCCATTGGTCTATCCATCTGTTTCTGTACCAGTACCATGCTGTTTTGATTACAACTGACCTGTAGTATGTCCTGAAATCTGGTATTGTGATGCCTCCGGCTTTGTTTTTGTTGTACAAGATTGCTTTAGCTATTCGAGGTCTATTGTGCCTCCATATGAATTTCAGCATCATTTTTTCTAGATCTGAGAAGAATGTCTTTGGTATCCTGATTGGAATTGCATTGAATCTATAAATTGCTTTTGGGAGAATGGACATTTTGATGATGCTGATTCTTCCAATCCATGAGCATGGAAGATTTTTCCATTTCTTGGTATCCTCTTCTATTTCTTTCTTTAAGATTTTGTAATTCTCATCATAGAGATCTTTAACGTCCTTGGTTAAGTTTATTCCAAGGTATTTGATTGTTTTTGTAGCTATTGTGAATGGGATTGATCTTAGCAGTTCTTTCTCAGCCATGGCATTGCTTGTGTATACAAAGGCTGTTGATTTTTGTGCATTGATTTTATATCCTGCCACTTTGCCAAACTCCTCTATGAGTTCCAATAGTCTCTTAGTAGAGTTCTTTGGATCCCCTAAGTAAAGAATCATATCGTCTGTAAAGAGGGATAGTTTGACTTCTTCCTTCTCAATTTGTATTCCTTTAATTTCTTTTTCTTGTCTGATGGCTCTGGCTAAAACTTCCAGAACTATGTTAAATAGCAGTGGTGAGAGTGGGCATCCCTGTCTGGTGCCAGATCTCAGTGGAAATGCTTCCAACTTTTCCCCATTCAATAGGATGCTGGCCGTGGGCTTTTCATAAATTGCTTTGATTATATTGAGGAATGTTCCTTCTATACCCAATTTGCTTAGAGTTTTCATCATGAAAGGGTGTTGAATCTTATCGAATGCTTTCTCTGCATCTATTGAGATAATCATATGGTTTTTCTTCTGCAGTCTGTTAATGTGGTGAATCACATTGATTGATTTGCGAATGTTGAACCATCCCTGCATACGAGGAATAAATCCCACTTGGTCTGGGTGGATGATTTTCCTGATGTGTTGTTGTATTCTATTGGCGAGAATTTTATTGAGGATTTTTGCGTCTATGTTCATCAGGGATATTGGTCTATAATTTTCTTTCAGTGCTGCATCTTTCTCTGGCTTAGGGATTAAGGTGATGCTGGCTTCATAGAAAGAATTTGGGAGGATTCCCTCTTTTTCGATTGTTCTGAATAGTTTGAGAAGAAATGGGATTAGTTCTTCTTTAAATGTCTGGTAGAATTCCGCAGTGAATCCATCTGGTCCTGGGCTTT